AATCCCACCGCTGGCATCTGTCACTTCTTACTCATGAAAGCCCTCATGTAATAGAGGCTGAGTCTAATTAGTAAGACTTGATGCAGAGTAGAACTCTCTACTGCAAGCTAAGTCACTAGTTAAGTGAGATTCTATAAACACTTATCAGAGCTGATATGAGATGTTAATATCTCACTATTCTACTATGCACTCATCAAGGTTCTAATGATATAGAGTCAAGCCTAATATAGTGATTATATACTACTTAAGTGAGTCTCTAACTAGAGCTGTTATTGAAGCCTAGCTTCTTCTCAAATACAGAGAATGATTTTAAAAATTATCTGACTAGCAGATCTAGACATGCATCTAGACTCTAGACAGAGCACTCTGATAGACTAGAGTCTGCAAGCTCACTGTCAAGCTCTAATATTAACAGAGAGAACTGCAGTCATCAAGTCTATAATTAGTTTCTAACACAGAGTGAGGTTATGATGACTGATTGATAGACCTATAAGCATCTAATGAGACTGAGATCAGCAACTGAAAGCTTGATGTGTACATTATCAAGTGAGCAGTGATAGTCACTAACTAATGTCTCTGAAAATTAGTAACTGGTCTGAGAGAACAGACACAGTGATCAATTAATTATAGAGAGTTAAATATAATTAGCTTAAGATGCATTCTGTGAGTGACTAGTATCTGTAGTTCAAAAGAGAAGAATATCAAAGCTGATAATTTATCTGCACTGAGTTCCTACTCATATGAATATTCATGATAATGAATTGACTGATTCAGCTGTAAAAAAGAGTGTAGAATTAAGTAGATCTATTCAAAAAATTATGTTCTGATCTTTTATAAAGAGAAAAATAAAAGAATCTTGTTTAGATAAGTGAAATGAAAGCTAATAGAAACAAAAGAAGAGTATACATTATTCAACATTTGAAATAAAACTCAAGTGAAAATCTTGTTTAATTAAATGTAAAAAGAAAATATTCTCATCTATAATACAGCTGAAACTAGAATATAGCTATTTGTAATATGACGGAACTAAAGCAGTGGCTAGTCAGCGGCAACACATAGAGATAGTTGTTTGAGAAGTCATATGAGTGAGCTTGACTATCTTGCTTGAATAGTGAGCTTGTAGGCTACAGAGTTATTGTGAGAATATCACAGATATGATACTTGGTATACTAAGAAGATTATATAAGATATGCAGTAACTCTTATATATATTTCAGTAGAAGAAAAAACAAATTACTAGCTTCTTTGATAAGAAGTCAGCACCTAGCTATTCTATATAGATAATGAGTGAATACTCTTCTCTCATTTTATGAGTAAGAATAGCTGAAGTGATATCTCAGTAGTATCTCATTGTCAAGAAAGAGTAATCTGCTGATTTTGTATAGAAGTGAGATTCTTATATTTATTAATTAAATCTTTCTATAATATATCTGAATGATGTATTATTATTATTCTTCAATTATAGATGTATGCAGTCAGAGACTATGACATCTACCTGAGAACTTTAGTTCTCAGGGTTTTTTCTATGTCTGTAAAGTTATCTATTGTACATTCATCAATTTCAGATATGCAAAATCAGAAAATTTCAGCTCAGAATACAAAAACTGTTTACAAATTGCAGTGTTTTAACATCTTTTGATACTTTGAAATCATTTGACAATATCATGACAAAAGAAAAGAGAGAAAGAACACAGTCTCAAAGATAGACACATTAAATAGATAGATAGAAAGAAATTGAAAGGAAAAGATACAGAAAAAGATAAAGTAAAGAGAGACTATAACAAAACAAATTATTAAAAGAGAGTGTATAGCTATTTTAACAGACTATATCTGATTGATTTCCTCCTCTTCATATTCAGATAATTCTGAATTTAGTCATTTTCTTGTAGCTGCTTGAGTTTCTGATAGAAAGTCTATTAAGTATTTAATTCCTGTCTCAGTTGAGAATAAGAATCTTATATTTAATTGATTTAGATTATACTTCTCTTTCAATCTGGCTCTGAGACTATTGTATAATGCACAGTGTATTATAATATGCTCAGAATTCTCATTTGTATTGTAGAATGAGCATTCTATTGAGTCAAATCTATCATCAAATCTTTGTATATAAGATTTGAAATAGCCATGTCCTAGTTTCAGCTGTATTATAGATAAGAATATTTTCTTTTTACATTTAATTGAACAAGATTTTCACTTGGGTTTTATTTCAAATCTTGAATAATGTATACTCTTCTTTTGTTTCTGCCAGCTTTCATTTCACTTGTCTAAACAAGATTCTTTTATTTTTCTCTTTATAAAAGATCAGGATATAATTTTTTGAATAGATCTGCTTAATTCTGCACTCTTTTTTACAGCTGAATCAGTCAATTCATTATCATGAATATTCATATGAGCAGGAACTCAGTGCAGATGAATTCTCAGCTTTGATATTCTTCTCTTTTGAATTTTTAAAACAGAGTTTAAGATCAGTTCAAGATTCATTTGATCATTATGAATCTGACTATTTCTAAGTCTTTTTAAAGTAGCTTGACTATCAGAGAATATTCATATCTCTTTCAAATAATTTCCTCTTTTATGAGATTTTATTTCAATGAGTTTGAAAGCTTTCACTATTACAAATAGTTCAGCATCAAAGACTTCACATTCAGAGTCTAGATTTCAGAAATCTGAGATAAAATTAATATTATCTTCAGTATAAGCAATGCCTGCGCCTAATCTATTCAAGTTCTCATTTTTTGAGTCATCTGAATAAATCAGAATAGAGTCTTTTTATATTGATTGTAGAAATTCTCTTCAAATGCTGTTTATATTCTTTCTCTTTTGATAGTTCACTTATTTATAAGTCTATAAGAGATTCAAGCTTTTTCTTCAGAGAGATAACTTCTCATGATCAACTTTTTCAACATTTAAAGAAGAAAATTGATTTTTAATCAGAGAGCATAGTCTGTACAGTTGAGAAGGCATTTTCTTTGAAGAATTATTTTCATTTCAATCAAGAAATCTATTTCAATCCAGTTCATTTCCAGAGTTAATTGATGAAAATGAAGAAGAGACTCTTTCTCTGATTATATGATTTGAGCTCATCTTTACAACTCTCAGAGCATAGTTCATACAGGCCTTTTCAAATCTAATAGCAGGAGAAGGAATTGAAGCTTCAATTTCCATTACTTTAATAGAAGATGATTTAAATGCTCTCAGAATTCTTCTCAAGACTCTGTTTTACAGACTTTGAAAGAGTTCAGTGAAATTCTCTTGATTATTTCATCAAACTTGAACTTCATAATCAGCTACTGATGTAATACAGGCTATATATAACTGTCTCATAGCCTGGAAGAATAGATCCCTCTCTGTATTTGATAGTCTGATTATGTTGTTCAATAGTCTTTCTGCCTTGACAGTTCTTTGTTAAATGTGATATTTAAAGTTCAACTTGGAGTTTAATCATACTCCTAATCATTTGATATTTACACTGGATTTAATCTCACTATTTAAAAGAGTTAGAGATAGTTCTTTCTCATTGAATCTAGAAAAGAAATGAATTAACTCAGTTTTATTCATATTAAATTAAATTTGATTGATATCTGTTCTAACAAAGATTTTCTTTGCAGCTTCTTCAATTACTTTCAAATTCTCTTTGATAGTTTTTAAGCTGTAGACTAGATCAATATTATTTATATAACTTGAAGATTGCACTATTCTCATATTTCTATTTTTAAATAGATATGCAGTGTATATTGTAAATAAAATAAGTGAGATTGAAGATCTCTGTGATACTCCTATTTTTATCTCAGTCTTGTCTTATTTCATTCCATCAAAGAAGAGTTGTATAATTCTTTTAGATATAAAACAGTTAACTCATTTTATTAGAGAAAGTGACAGTTTTAATATCTTCAATATCTGAATTAACTTTGACTTTGAAACATGATCAAATGCTTCTTTTATATCAATAAAAACTGTAGTTGAGACCAGACCCTCATGCTTTGCTATTTGAATATCATGAACAACTGAGAGAACAGTGTCAATTGCAGAACACTGTTTTCTATCTCTCATTTGTTCACTGAATAAAAGAGAATCATCTATAGAGCTTATAAAAGATAGTTGAGTAGCTATTATCTTTTCTAAAACCTTTCCTAGGCAGTTCAATAGAGATATTACTCTATATAACTTAGGAATTGAAGTTTTTCTATTAGGTTTTGCAAGAATCACTCCAGTGGCTTCTCTCCAGTATTCAGGATGATATCCATTTTTCAAGAGATTGAAAAAGAGCTCAAAATATTCATTCTTTAAGTAGGAATATGTATTTTGAATAATCAAGTGATTAATTGAATCAGGACCTGCAGCAGTTTTAACAGAACTTGAGAAGATAGCTGACTCTAATTCATCTTGTGTAAGATCAGGTCATTCCCAGATCTGAATAATGTTATAGAGTGATTGAAAACTGATTCAGATAAGATGAAATCATCTATATAAAAGTAATAAGCTGTATGAAACTGTAACAGAGTCTTGACATAATTAGAAGTATAACAATACTCTTCTCTTTAAAAATATAGTCTCTATACTCTTAAGATTACTGAATTAGAAATTATCTTTATTGTATAATAATAATTATTAACTGATTAACAGTATATATACTGCATGTGATATAAAGAAATAGATGGGTTTTTCTACTGACTGTATAGATCTTTCTTTGTTCATCTTCATTCAAATCAAATGTATAATAAGTGAGTTTCTTATATATCAATTTAAGATGAAGAAAATGTAGTTAATAAGTGATTTATAGATCTCTTATTATATTTCATTCTATATATAAAATTCTCTGTAAAAGTGATATATTTTAGAGATAAAGTTAACAGTAGTAATAGAATTTTTTTAAAAAGATTTTCTCTCTTATGAAATATTTTTCTTTCTCTTTCTCTCAATTGCAACAGTGAGTGCATGAGAGTATCATTCTTGAAGAATAATAAAGAGCTTATTCTGACATTCTCTAGTGAGTAAATGTCTTCATGATACAGCAGTGGTCTTCATGACTGTTAAGAAAGCCTGATTGAAGATGGAGACAGCAGCATCAATGAACTGCAGGAGCACTGCTTTCATTGTCACATCTTCTTCTCCTTCTTCTCCTGCTTCTCTTGCGGCCGTGGCGGCAGTTGCCATGCCTTGCAGTGAGGTATCATCCCTTCTGCCGGTCAGTTTGTCCATGTTCAGTCCTTTTCCTGCCCCTCTCACTGCTGTTGTGACGCCGCCCCTCCCTCCAATCAACACAGTGATGTATGACCCCGTGTGATCATTCAGAGAGGACTCTGAAAAGAGCTTGATTTCAGAGACAGTGGCTCTGAGAAGCTCAATTCATAGTTCCTCTTCTATGGCATATCTGAGCCCTGCTCAGAATGCTGCTGAGTTGAGTCTGCAGAGTTTCACAGTTTCTTTGTCTTCTCTCTGTGAAGAGGCTCTGATATGACTTCTGACTGACATCATCACCTGTCTGCACTGTGCTAAGCAGCTGAAGAAGAAGAGGATTTTATACATCTATCTCTTCTCTCACTTCTGTTATTTCTATTATATCTGTAACAATAACTCCTGTCTCTCTGTAAGTATTACCTACTCTATAAGAAGACATCATATCAGCTCTGACAAGAAGCTCAGATGCTCAAGCAGTACAGAGTAAGAATCTCAGAGCTTTAAGTGTTGATAAATTCTATTAAGACTGAAGAGATCTCTCTTACTCATCTGTAAAAGAAAATGAAAGTATGAGTCTCTGAGATAAAAAAATATCTCAGAATAACTAACTTTAAGAAGAGATCAGTCAGTACTGCTGTTAAAAGTATTATAGAAATCAATCACTGATTGAAGAGAATCTCACTTTAATTAAAGTAGATGACTAAGATGCTTTATAAGTTAATAAGTTAATATTTTATATATTTCTCATACTCTTCTGCAGTGCTGCAGTACTAACTTCTTAGCAGATAAAGATATCAGTACTGAAGACTTCAATGATAAAGAATAAGTTTAATAAAAGTATGATTATTAATAAGTAGACTCTGATTTCTCTTTTTACTTTTTCAGCAGACTGTGATCTCATTAGAATAGCAGCAGTCTGTGAGTCAATAATATTAATCTTTTTATTGATTTTAAATATCTCTTTTCTTTTAACTGCTTCAGGAATTTTACACTTGTATAGTCTCATTAAACTTCTAAAAATTCTTTGAGAGAAAATAGAAGAAGAGTGCTATAGAGTCTATAAGACACTGACTCATTATTATAAGATTATCTCTAAAAAACTCTTTGAGAAAAATAAGAAGTCTTAAGTAGTATTTCTTACTCAATATCTCTAATATATAATAGAGTAGTCTCTATTAGCTGTCTTATAGCTTACAATCTCTTTCTCAGTATTTTCTAAATACTCAAGTGATTCTTATAAATTCTCTGATAATAAATAATCTTCTTATTTAATAAGATATTGAAGCTTGCTGTAATATATTTACTTATTCAATATTTTCTTTATAAGATATTCAGTATCACTCTCAATCTTAATATTATTTAGCTGAGACAGCTTCACTCTGAAGCATTGCTTATAGAGTTTTAAATAGAAAATATAAAAAATAGAATAAATTAATTTCAATTCTGTAAGTAATTTCAACTCATATGTCTGCTTACTCATCACTCTTATTACTGAGAAAGATTCTAGTCATCACTTACTAAGCTTCTTATACAGTCTTATTATCTTGATATTCTTTACTAAAAGTAGTACTTAATTCTCTATCAAGAACTTTATTAAAAGATGTTTTTAATTATAGTATTCTATCTATCACTTCTGAGTATAGTGAATACTTTTCATCATCTTCTTATGAATTTTATTTAAAAGTTTTAATCTTACTTTTACTTCTGATACTGAGAAATACTCTGTTCTCTGTATCTATTTAATATTCTGACTGTCTATTTCTCTCTTTGAAATATTATCTACAACATCACTGAGTAATGAAGAATTATATTTATAATAAGTATAGAAAGAAAATATCTTTAAGATTATATTCTTTACATTATTATATATGAATTCAGCAGTTAGAAGATATTTGAGTCAATCATTCTGATAATATAAATAGAACACTCAAAGATGTTGTTCTAGTGTCTGATTCTGATATTTAGTCTGATCATCTGTCTGCAGATGAAAAGCAGTACTGAGAAAACATCTTATTATAAGATAATAGTAAAAAGCTGATCAGTACTTGCTAATGAAGAGAGATTCTTAATCTATTATTAATAATTTCAGAGTATCATGATTATGAATAATGATATTTAAAAACAGGTCAGCTAATTCAGAGACTTTAATCTTCTTATAAATAGAAATATATCTGATTATCTTTATAAAGTAGTCAATAATAATCAAAATTAAGTCATATTCTTTGACTCTTGTTGACTTCAGTAGATCAACTATGAAATTCATTAATAGATTCTATTATAGACTCTTTGAAACAGGCAGTAATATTAACTCACTGTATTACTTATACTACAGAATCTTTATTCTTTAACAGATATTATAAGTTTTAATATACTCTTTGATATCTGCTCAGAGCTTGTTTTAAATATATTTATATTTTAGAAACTTCTCAGTCTTCTCTAATCTGAAGTGTCTCATATGAGAATCATTATAATGAATTCTTAATAACTTCTGACACATCACTCTACTACAAGAGATGAAGACTGAATTATTCAGTAGTAGAAGTTCACATTCTTCTAGTTATCAGTAACTTGATTTCTTAGCAGTACTGTTCTACTCAGAGTCTGTCTCTTTTAAGTTTAAACTGAATTCTTTCTTCTTTAACTTCTGAATTCAAGCTGTAGTAGAGACATCTCTCTTCTGTAACTTATCAATGAATTTTAAAAGTAGTCAGATTGAAAGGTTGTAGACTGTTTCATTCTTTATCAATTCAATGATAGTAAGATATAATATAAGAAGCTTATAATCTTCAGTGTTAGTTCTCTGTGAAGACTCAGGTTTTCTTTCATCTTCTATACTGAGTTATACAGCTGTCTTATCAGCACTGTTTTCAAGCTTCAGAGAATATCAACTCTCTGCAGTCAGCTTCTTCTGCAGTGATAGTAGAGATTCTTTTATAGAATTCTTCTTCATATTAATAATATTATAATTAAGTTATTTAGACAGTATATCAGTAAGATTAAGCTGATCTGAATAGTATCAGATATAGAAATTATACTCTGAAAGCAGCTCTGCTCATCTGGCTTGACATTCTATCAAGCTCTTTATTGTCAAGAAGTAACACAGATTTATATAATCAGTGAGAACTTGCACTGAGTACTTACTACTCTGAAGATAATGTTATCAGATCTTAAAGAATTCAATAATTACTAACATCTTCTAATTATAAGTATTATATCTTCTCTGCATAAGTAATAACTTCTTGAAGAAGAAGATCACTGATCTTCATTCACAGTATCTTATAGACTTTATGAAAAAGTCTTCTCTCACAGATAATTTATTATCTATTTCTTCAGAAATAATTATTCTCTGATTCTTTCAACATTGAAAGATCTTCAGTATCAACTGTGAAAAGATTTCACAGATCTCATTTTCAGATATATCAGTCTCACACTGACTGAATAAGTTGAAGTTAAAGTGATTCAGTATCATGATATCTGTGAAAGCTTGTTTCAATTCTGCAAATGTCTATGCAGTATCTTAAATGAGAATAAACAGTCTTATTTTTCTATCTTTCACACTTCTCTTTAACAGATCTGTAAGAGAGACAGTAATCTGTGAATATATATAAATAAATCATCTGTAGAAATTCACAAATTCTAGAAATATCTGCATCTCATAGTATATCTGCAGTATCAGTCAGTTCTTAATAACAGAGACTCAGCTTCTGTTCATTGAAATGTCATTTATCTCAATAATATAATCTAAGAAATCAATCTCCTGTATATAGAATAAGCATTTTTCAGTGTTTATATAGAGTTGATACTATCTCAAGTAACTCAATACTTCTCAAACATGAGTATCATATTCTTTCTCTGATTTTGAGAAGATTAGAATGTCATTCAGATATACTATGCAGAAGATATTGACAAGACTCTGCAGTGTTTCATTTATATAGATCTGAAAGATGACTGAAGTGTTACAAAGATTAAAAGATAAAACAAGAGATTCAAAATTATCATACTTGATATAAAAAGTCATTTTCTAAATGTTATCTTTGTTAATTCTGATTCTATGATAGATATTCTGTATATCAATCTTTGAGAACATCTTTACTTCAGATAATCAATCAATCATCTCATTAATCAATAGTAATGAATAGTAATTCTTAACTGTTATCTTATTGAGACCTCTGTAGTCTATACATAGACATAGTCTATTATTCTTCTTAAGCACAAAGAGTATAGACATCTCTGTCAGACTCTTTGATAAATATATTCAGTTCTTTAATTACACTTCTTCAAGATATTTGCACAGAATATTCAATTCCTTTACAGATAAGTTGTAAAGAGACCTGTACAGCATCATTACACTATCTTCAAGACAAATCTTATATTATATCTTGATATCAGGAAACTTTGCTGCTTCTCTTTTCAAAAAGACATTCTTAAAATCTGTAAAGAGATATTATGTATATCTGTCTTCAATGACAGATACTGCTGCTAATCTTATAGTGAGAGTGATAGCTTTTTCATCTGTTCTCAAGTCTTAATCACCTGCTACACAGTATATCAACTTAATCTTTTTCTCAAGATTCTTCTGATGAAACTCTTCAGATTTCTCCATCACTGTCTCTTTATCAGTGAGACAGTACTGTCACACCTGAGTAACTCAGTCAATAAGAGAATTGTTTTCTCTCAATTATAAAAGATCTAGAATGATGTTCTTATCTATGATATTAACTGTGTGAAGAAGCAGACTGCTTTTCTTGAAGATTTCTTCTGAGTCTGTGATCACACACTTCACTTGAATTATGCTAAAATAGTGACATTTTATTCCATCAGTAAATTTCATATAATCTAACAGATCTATCTTCTTTCAACTCTTCATCAAAGAAAAGAAATAGAATATGAAGTTAGTATCTACTCTGAAGTTGAGTAGACATCTCACTAATATCTTCTCATTCAGAGTATGCATTGTGATTGTAACATGAACTCAGAGATATGAGAATTATCAATTCTTTTCTTTCTCTTCTTTATCTTCTGCAGATACATTTGTCAGAAGAGAAGTCAACTTTGAGAAGATATCTTCTCAGTTTCTTCTCTTCTTCAGCTTCTTATAATCACTGATATAGTGATTATCAGCTCTACAGTTG